AATACAACAGAGAAATATCGGAAAATAGTAATACATCCTTCAGTATTATTGCTGAAGTCTGTTGGAATAGTGTTTCAGGAGCACTGGGGAAATTATCACTGATAGTATTGATAATCACCTTTCAGGCTCATCACGGAAGCGAACTCATTTGGTAAGTGTACAAACTTTAACGTATCATTTGTGACTAACAACCAATGGAAAAACTCTTGGTCGCTGGACTTATACGACCATAAATGCCAGTCAAAATTTAGAAATTGTAAACGTAATGAATAGAGACCACAGAGGAAGAATGCCCCAGTGACCTTTTAGAGGCTGACGATATTGACGTTCACGAATAGCACGAAGTATACTAACGCAAGATCTAATACCCACAACTTCTGTAGTATTCGTTCCACGTAGACCAAAGGCAAAGCATAACAATAATTGATCGTCCAAAATACGAGTTATATTTCGGGACCAAATCGGAGAGCAAGATGATTGCTTAACTAGCTAGGGATCGTGCACGAACGAACGAACGAACGTGATGCGACGGCATACCAAATAGCGTGGATACTTGACCGGAAGCCTTCAGCTAAACAGGTTGACTTGAACAGTTAGGGTCAGCATCCAATGTTCAGTGATGAATGTTGTGGCCAATAATTTTGGGGAATTACCCACCGCTACAAAATCATAGCCAAAATCACAGTAACTTTGAACGACCAGTCAGAATTCAGATGCTAGAAATTCGCATTATCATTGAAAAATACACTAAAAAGACATTGCAAATGTGATATTTCACTGTGTGGTTGTAGCTTATGTGTTACAAGAATGTCTCCGAGTCAATACACCGATGATCTGTAGCGAAATCATACCATGCGCGATATATCCATTCATTCGGGTCACTGAAGGTCATGCTACTTTGAGATCAATTGACTTTTCTGACACTATTCTTCAACCTACTCCTAACTCTAACCATAATCGTAACTTCTGATCCTGAAATAAACTCTAAACCTAACCTTCACCGTAGACACTTAACCTCAATCTAAAAAGCCATAACCCTACATAACAGTACAGATTTGCGGAAAAAGTACCAAGTAAATAATTAGAATACTGTATCTACCCCATCCAAGTCCCAAAAGGCAGGTATGATTTGATTTGGAGTGAAATTTCATAGTATTCCCTGTATCTAATGGGTTCTTGAAGGTCAACTTTTGAAAGACTTTGACTCTGGCCACGATACTTTGACTTCTCCTGGTCGTGAATATTGGCGCGAAAATGCAAGTTGTTATTGGAAACTGAAAATTCTGTTTCAGCGTTGTGTGAATATTTTATTCACATTAAAAAATTTTATTTCAAGATTTAATACAAATTATACCATCAGTGAACAAATGTTAAAATTCCAATGATTTTTCATAATTTGTCAACACGTTTGATTTCTTGTCATGAACTCAATTTCTACTCGTTCCCTGAAATTTTCTTCAATTTTCAGGGAAAAAAGTATCAAGTATTGATTTGTAGGGATTTTGTTCAATTTGTTGGAAGATTCCATCATGAACTGACATCGGTTAGAGAACCATTGGAAAACCACCTGGGAGTACTGGACTGCTGTTTCATCCTGCTTCCTTGGGACTCTTCAGCAGTATGCACCCATCACAGGGGGTACGAATCCAGGACCTTCTGGTTACAAGACGAGCTTGTAGACCATTAAGCCACTGGGATTCTTTCTGATAGGAAGCCGTGACCAGTAGGCTACAACAGGTCGAAGGTGGGGACAGTTATTCATCGAAAAAATCGACAAGTGGTCACGCTTAGTTGTGAATCGGTAGTGAGTGGATCCCAGTGGCTTATGGTCTACGAGCTCGCTAGCCTAGTAACCGCATGGTGCTGGGTTCGAATCCCGGTGGGTTCATAGTGCTGAAGAGCTCCATACTAGGATGGAACAGCTTTCCATTATTCCCAGGCTTTCCATTGGTTCTCTAACCGATGTCAACTCATGATGAAATCCTCCAACCAAAAGAAAACAGTATCACTAAAATCTGATTTTCGCAACAAATTTTAATGTTTGAAAAGCTAGTTTTTAATATATCTTAAAACTTTTGAAATTTTCGAAAGTTAAATTAGTATATTTTAAAATAAAATAACCAGTTTTACAATCTATTGTCGTAAAACCTTTTATTAGGAAAAGTACTAAATTCTAATAAATTTTGGTTTTGATATAACAGGAGTTTAAAGGTACGGAAGTGTATTGAAATCTAAAGAACAATCAAACAGACAAACAAAACAGAATTTGATTGCAATTCGTGACAAAATCCATCTTAAGGTTAATCAAATCTGTATAAATCAACCAGTTTGATATTAGTTCATTGCTTATGAGTGAGTGACCGACTATATGCAAGATTGACTTAATGAAGTATACTTGATGTTTCTGTTTAAACCTCTTACAATGGTGTGAAGAATACGCTTCACTAAACAATCTAATAAACGAAGATAGAACAGCTGTTCAAAGCACTACTGTTTTCAGTGATTATGTCTATTCGAAGGCCTTAATCCATTTGAGTATGTACATCTATGGTTGAACTGTTAATATTATTATTATTATTCACATAACTGATTTTATGGGCATTCAATAAGCAGAATCAAGTAATATTACTTATTTAACACAACGGAAAACACAGATAAAACATTTGAAGTGAAAACAGGAGTAAGACAAGGCTGCCTGTCTATCATCACAGATGATATTCTTAATTGTAGTGGACTGCACCGCATGGTGGAGCAAAGGTAAGGGGGAACACGTTAGTCCGATAAGAAGACTTTAGAAGATATGGACTTTGCCGATGATTTCTTTCTAATGTGATATAAACTCCAAGATCTAAATGTGGTGACCAACAAGTTGGCAGTTAGAAGCAGGCAGAGAAGAGAGGATATAAAATAAACACAGAGGACGAAGTCAGAAAGTTGTGTGAATACCTTGATATGATTATGAGAAATAAGTTGTGGTCGAAACGTCATTAGTAAATATTACTGCATGGCACTGTGAGAGTTTAGCAAGATGAAATTTTCTCCATAATGGAATTATACTCTACGAATATGCCCAAGGTTGCGTCGGTGGCATAGACGTAGAATGCCCTCCGGCCGATGCATTCCTTTACCTCGCTAAGCCAATAATGAGACTGGTGAAGAAGGAAGGCTGGGCATAAGGCTAGCAACCACATCACATAAAAATAAATATCACTGATCTCGAAACTTCAGGCCTCTAACTTGAAGCCCTATGTTCCACTGCGAACGTAAAGGAATAAAAGAAAACTTTGCAGTATTGATATATGTGTAAACCTTGGGCCCTGTGGTAGTAAGTAATTCCATATTAGTTTGTTTATTAGATGTATCACACAGTGAAACAGGGAAAATGTACAAAGAAGCTGAGGGAGTTACCATGGGGTCACCAATATCCCCGGTTGTGGCAGATATATTCATGGATAGGTGAGAGAACATAGAGATTGAAACGTTCACCCCCCCCCCCGAAAAAAGTATGGTGGAGGTATGTAGATGACTGTGTACATTGGCAAACTGCTGACCAATTCTCAAGTTTTGATCTTGATTTCTTGGATTCCCATTTCTGAAGGGCATTATTCGTAAATCTGTCAAAAGAAGGATCAATAAAATCTATACAAAGGAAAGCAGTAGCTAGCCAAATGTCTGTAAGTTAGGATCTAAAACATCTACGCAGATATATACAGACGATATATACGAGTAGAGATAATCATCTTTTTGGCAGGAAATAGAGAATAAATAAATGTCCATTATTTATTTTTTCAGACAGAATACTTTGATCAAACCATGGGAAATAGAACTATCTCCCAGACAGAAAAAACAGCAAACCTAGTTTTAGTGAGAAAAATAAAATAGTCTATAAATTAACTGACAGAGACACACCTTGCTGACTGAGAGTGCCAACTAGCACGAAACCTAGGTCTGGCAAGGCTTCCTGCCGACTGCCTCAAACTATCCACTATCAACAATTCACAGTGCACCGTGATGGCGAGCCGGCTAGTAAGTGGAATGGTGGACACAATGCAAACCTGACTGATAGAATTCAATCTGCACCAAAGATAGGACTAGACGCACACATTACACAAGTTACTGACTAGTGTTCAATAATTTTTCCCCGCAACAGGTTTACGTTTCAGATGGAAACTTAACGCTTCTAGGGTGAGGATATAACCTACCACATATCAAACTTGCCACGCTTTCGTTTCAGCATACACGTATAGGTAGAACGGAGGCAGTCAATAACGACTTGGATTTCATCAGATAGTTGATTTTGTATTACACGGGTTTAAAAGAGATATACTGTAATCGTCATATCAGATGTTAAAACATCTGGCTATTTTAAGGGTGTTCTGTCAACTCTTTGACGTAGCGAGTATATTTGTTTTGACGTTTTCCATAATGTGCACGAAAACACCTCACGATAGCCTTTATCCTCATTCCACTTCTACTTAAAAAGTAGATTTTGTAGATTCAGAAAACCTTTTAACCCCTAACAGTGTTTTCAACTCATTCGACCCAGTAAGAAATGAAACCATATTACACTAAACTTATTTCGTGAATGCGGAAACAACAACACCGTTACTGAAACTTCAAAAAACTTGTAGCTATGACCACAAGGAATGAATATATATAGGGGATTTGACTTGTTCCAAGTGTGGCCACGGATTGATATGAGTTAGAGAATCATTGAAATCCAACAAGGAGTAATGGACACCTAGCTTGAAACTCATCAGAAGCAGGCCAGGACATTGAGTGGAACCCGAGTTGGAAGCGACGAGTTGAACTTTGGTCTGAGGGTAACATGTCGGATATCATGTGAGCAGGAGCTAGAAGCATTTTGGCAATCGTGGAGCCAGCTGACGAGGACCACAGAGAACCGGACGAAATAGTAATGTGTTGTTGAAGTCCTACATTTGACTGAGAACCCAAAAGAAGTCATATGTAGCATAATAATGCATCTGTATTAACTAAATATTTTCTATGTACAATCATTTAAAAATTGTTTCATTTCCCATTGTAAAATAATAAGTAAAAGTCTTACAGAATAGTAACATGTTTCATGTCCTGAAATGCGCTATAAATGCAATTGCTCTAAGTCTTTGTGTATTTGTAGGTGTGTATGAGTGAGAGAAAGAGGGAGAGGGAGAGAAAGAGGTGTCGTTTTTTGTTGAAGATAATATTTCTCAGGATTAAATGACAATGCACATGTGCTGCTGATTTCAATTCCAGTATTTCTCCTTGTCATTTATTATTATTATCATTATCATTATCATCTTATTATCATTTCATCATATCCATCCATCAAATATCCTAATTCCTACTCATAGGATAAAATGATTTATCTGTTGTCTCGTTAGTCTCTTTCTTTTTCAATATACCAATTCTAAAGGCGAACCATTTCATTTTATCCACAACTTCTTCTTGCATTAATTTGAAACACATTGCAAACACTGACAAACCAATAGCGACATATAAACATATGATGATCAGTTTCTCTTTAGGATTAGTTGAATCAATTTTTGTACCTGAAAAGGAAGAAGGAAAGAAGAAAAAACAAACAAGCATTGCAGGACATGAAATAGTAAGTAAGGAATTCAAATCTATTCACATTTACAATATTTCTAGGCAAAAAAAAGAAAGATTATAGGTGTCTTAGTGAATAACTAAGCATTTTTTGCAATAACTTTCTCTGCTTCAGTCAAAAAATTTGTGAATATTATCAAAAAACCAATACTCTTTGGTGTAATCAAAAGTCGAAAGATACCCTTCTCTTGTTAACTCTAACTGTGTATACAAATTTACATGTATCTGAGGTAACAGTTACATTGGGAGAAGACAAAAAAGGGCACATCTCTGATTTTCTGAACTTGTACCTAAAAACTTACATCTCAAGAAAATGAATGCTTACAATAGAACCATTCCCAGATACTTCATCAGCACGGACCATGAGGTGGACATGGGGAAGTCCTTTACGATTATCAGTAGACAAAATAGTTTATGTATTTAGAAAGAAGCAGAAAGTTACCGGTTTTTCTTGCCCTGGTAACTGGATGCTATTACTCTCTCTTTAGTTGATTATGTAATCTTTGGCTTTAACCTCTCTCTCTTTTTTACAGTGTAACTTTAGTTGTCTCCTGCCTTAACGATTTGAGTTGAACTCACTGCTGATATAAAGATAAAACTTGGTCACTGTGGTAGAGTATAATTCCAGTATGGAGAAAATTTTATTTTGATAAAATTACACAATGTATTGTACAGTAAAATTTACTGATGACCACGTTTCGAGCACAATTTATAACTGCTGATAATCATATCAAGACACTACTCACACAACTTCCTTGCTTCATTTATATACATGAGTAAAAATTGATGATTAGACATTTAAATAAAAATCAGCATAAGATAAAGTATGTTAGAAAATAATAATATTAGTGTTATAAATAGAATATAAGATGAGAAATAAGATGATATAATGTAAAAATGAAATACATTTTAACATTATTTATTATCCTCTGATTTGACTGGTGGTAATAATGTCTTCCATATCTCTGTTATTTGCGTTGAGTCAAATATATGGCATGTGTTGGGTGTCGACTCGATGAACCAGGATTCAGAAATCAATCTCTCTCTCTCTCCCGATATACCTATATTACTTTATAGAATTTGGACTCTGTCCCACCCACCCTATTGTGTAGTTGTGTGTTAATGTGTGGGTAGTGAGATTGCTGAGTTTTTGTCTAAATTACTCATCTTCGTGAGATCAATCATTCTAACCTTGGCTAAATTCTTATGTTCCGACAATCTGACTACTCCTGATCTACTAGTTTAACCTATTTAGTTGACCTCACTTACAGTCATTGCAAGGTATTTCGTTTGTGAACTCACTACGTTGTTACGTAACTTATTAATTACTCATAATTTCATTCCCCTATTGTCTTTTACCACTGTATGCATACATTTATCTTTGTTTAAACTCGAACTCTCAGTGAAAACTATGTAAGTTTATATTTCTGAACACTGTTCATTAAGTTTGGAATCTTCTCTTAACTGACATCATGTACCTCAAATGAACTGTCGTCAAGATTTGACCGAATAGTTCTAAAATATTTGGGCGCCGAGTGAGAAGTAGACATTTGTAAAAAATTATATTTCTAATATCTCAGCGATATTGAAATGAGTAATTCCAACGTTTCGTTCGACAATCTGGTCCGAACTTCTTCAGGGAAATTAATCAAAATTAACATAACAGAGGTTTTTATATATAAAAGGCACATCTTTTGTTTTTAAAAACTTTGTCGAATCATGATTCATAAACACAAGTATTAACAAGTATAATAAACAAAATTGTATGAGCTGTGATCAAAATTTGACCTCGGACTTACAAATATTGGTCTACCTTTGTTAAACACTTTAAACAGAGTGTGCATGCGTGTGTGTATAATTTTGATTAATTTCCCTGAAGAAGTTCGGACCAGATTGTCGAACGAAACGTTGGAATTACTCATTTCAGTATCGCTGAGATATTACCAATATAATTTTTTACAGACACCATGCACTGTTTCCAAGTATGTTAAAACTGTTTTCTACGGTGGTGATGAGAAGACAACGAAAAAAACGACTTTCCCATCTTGTTCTGCACAAACTGTTGTTCCTTCTTTATTCAGATATGATACCATACCTGGTTTTTGACATGAATACAAAAAAACTTTATTTAAAGTGGTGATATAACGAAATCAAAAATCCCTGTTGAGTCGTATAAAAGGGAAAAAATACGTTCAGCAAAGAATTATTATTTTTTTCCCAACGATTTCTTTCACAAGCTGAACATTTGCACATATATATAGTAAACTGTCTTAATAACAAAAAGGATATTTCTAAAGATGTGTTATTAGAATTGCAAACTTTAGATAACGAATTGCGTAATATAAAAAGCATTAATCGAGTAGAAACTAAACTGCAATTAAATAAGTAGGCTGGAAAGTGTGATTTAACAGGGTGAGTAGAATTCAAATAAGACTGAACAAGAGTAAAGTTGATAACAGTGATACTGAGAGGTGGAAATTCGATAGGGGATGAGGGAAGAATTCCAAATTAGATAAGTCTATTTCATATACGGAATTAAATTCTACCTCAGTGCCCAACTTGTGCACTTACATTAATGGTGAGGGAAGAGGATATTAGGAATAAAAAAACAACCAAAAATTACGTATCAAATGTTAAGACACATCAGTTCTGTCTTAGAATTATTGACTGAAAAAACTTCTGAATGCAGAGTTTTCAGTTCAGCAGGTAAATTGCCATAACTCCTGCGTTTTGAAGGAGTTTGATTCGTACACCTTTAGCAAGATTCCCACCTATTCTGTAGATGTTTTTGAAGTTGATTTTTGAGTTAACTTGGTGTCCAGACTCGATCAGATATTTCAGGGTAGAGCTGCAGAGGGATGTTTTTTCTTCTTTTTATAAAAATATGAGCGTAAATGTTCGATGACACGTTTAGATAGCAAACGCTGAGTACGGCTAACATACCACACGTGAAGATGAATTGATGGATACACGTTGATGAGGCCAGGTGTGATAGTTTATCCTTAAGATTCAAGAGAATCATTGATTTTGTGGTGGTTCCTTAGTATTTCTGACCATGAATCTCCACTCAACTACAGATTCAAGTAGAGAATTGTTTTAGGAGCAGAAAGTATGGCAGGTTTGAGTAGTATAGGCTTTTGTGATGAAACGTTCCAATGAGCCATTTTCAAGGAGCATTCTTTTCATAGAGTTCAGTTCCTCTTCCATAATGACAGGGTCGCAGTTAATGAGGATTCTGTATCTCAAAAAACGAATCAGTTTTCGTCCCGTATTGAGAGGCGCCTAACTATGGAAGTTAATGAGTTGTCTATTCCATATAAGTTTTCTAGGGATAGAAATTTTTAGTGCTTCATCTTGTTCACGTCACGTTGGACGTCCAGAAAACATATTTTCAAGTGGGACTCCTTCCCTAATGTGAACTGGATTCCTGGGTGGCAGCTATTGAAAAAATTCAGGAATTCTCCAAAATTCTCTTCATTATTGGAGACAATGAAAGTACCATTCACGTATCTCTTGTAAAACCTAACGGTGCCAGTCATTTTCTCTAAGTATGTACTTTCGTGTTTTAACATGAAGAAATGTTCAGGCAACGGGCCTGGTAGTGAACCCATAACTATACTATCATTTTATCTATATATTTCATTATTAAAAGTGAATTGGACATTTAAAGGTGCATTCCGACGGGTAATATAATAATAGATGCAATCGGATGCGGATGATTTAAAAGGGAAAATGATATGCGCTTAGTGCTGATTGAGATTTGAATTTAAACTGATACGTTCGAAGCAGCATACTGGTTGTGAACTTATAATTAAAAACGATCAAAGCTGATTTCGAGGGGTGAATGAAAAGTTATATGAGTATATTAGCAAGATGAAATAACTCAAATGACGAAAACAATAAGTAAATAATCGTATTGCAAGTTTGATCACATAATTATATCCGATAAGGATCCACTTAAAACCAGCAGGGTGTACTCGACAGCCGTTTCGACTCTTCAGTAGTACGCACCTACCATGGTGCGAACCCAAGCCGTCTCAATTACAAAACAATCTCGTAGGCCATTAGGCAACCGAGACCCAACCTATGGTTCGTGAATCCCACCTTCTGCCTATTCGTGATTTTAGATTGACCACAAGCCAGTGTCATCGGTGATTCATTTGTCCCCACACTCGACCTGGTGGACTCCACTGGTCACGACTTCTCACGAGAACTTCAGGCAACTTAATACTGTAGCAAGTCACTAGCGAAGGAGCTAGTTCTTGAAAACTGTATTTCAATAAATTTCCACTGAGGCTGTTAAGTTTTAAATGCATAAAATTTATGATTGGACAGTACAGTAAAACCACTTTGATGATCGAACAATGAGTATCATGGGTTAATGGGGCTGAAATTCAGTGTTGGTTTAGTTAGAGCAGTAAGAGTCAGCATAGTAGATAAGAACTACAGTTGTTTTCGCATTTAGCAGATAATCGATGAGACTTTTCTGTACAATGTCATTTTCTCTGCAAGCATCGGAATCCTTAATGACTACTTTTCTTGTCTATAGGTTGGGCTGTTGTACCTGAAGAGAGGAAATTAGGCTTATTTATTTAAAAGAAGTAAATGACTCTACTGATCTAGGTGGTTTTAAATCGAATCAGTGCTCTTTTCTATACCATTCTTTGTGAATACATCAGTTCACCTGTTCCTGTGTAGCCAGGTATGCTGGTCATTCGACATGTACCCTGTCTAAAAGGCTTGAAGGACGCTATCCCACGTGGTTTCAGAGAGGCATTTGTGGCTCTATAAGGGATGCAGTAATCGAACACCTAGTCAACCTGGTCATTCTGTGGTGAGAGCTGTCTGTTAGCCAAAGTTGGTAGACAGTAATTGACGTCAATGTTTATTTCCCCAATATTAGTGGTGAGAAAATGAGAACTAAGGCTTTGCGTAGGCGGAT